AGCCCAGGAGTTGGAGGTTGCTGTGAGCTGTAATGCCACGGCACTCTACCCAGGGGGACAGCTTGAGGCTCTGTCTCAAAAAAAAAAAAAGGAGAAACATGTAATCTAAGTTTCAACTTAATCACAAATTCAATTTATTTTCCCTGTATGGTTAATACATTTATCTTTATTGATACTTTAAAAATTTCAGATTGATATTAGGGTACATTTAGGTTACAACATTTGCACTGGTTAGATAAAGTCTCTATTGCAGTTATGTCCCACACCTAGGAGGTGTACCATATGCCCCCACATTGTGCCCAATATGTGGGAGCACACCAATCTCCCTCCCTCCTCCCCTCTTCTCCCCCCTCCTCCAACTTGAATTGAAGTGAGAGTTCCTCTTGTGTGGGCATGTATTAGTTTGTCTACTGGCTTCATATTAGTGTTGAGTATCTTGGATACCTGCTTTTCTATTTCTAACTCCATCCAGGTTAATACAAAAGATATAATGTCTCCATCTTTTTATGGCCAAATAGTATTCCATGGCATACATATACCACAGTTTGCTAATCCATTCCTGGGTTGATGGGTATTTAAGTTGTTTCCACATCTTAGAGACTGTAAATTGAGCTGTGATAAACAATCTAGTGTAAATGTCCTTATGATAAAATTATTTTTCTTCTGAGTAGATGCCTAGTAATGGGATTGTGGGATCAAATGGAATGCCTATTTTGAGTTTTTTGAGGAGTCTACATACTTCTTTCCAAAGAGACTATATTAGTTTGCAGTCCCACCAGCAGTGTAAGAGTGTTCCCTTCTCTCCACATCCATGCCAGCATCTGCAAAAAATCTTTGAGACAAATTGCTTGAGCCCAAGAGTCTGAGATTGCTGTGAGCTATGATGCCATAGCACTCTACTGAGGGTGACAAAGTGAGACTCTGTCTCAATTAAAAAAAAAAAAAATTGGGCGACGCCTGTGGCTCAAAGGGGTAATGTGCCAGCCCCATATGCTGGAGGTGGCAGGTTCAAGCCAGCTCCAGCCAAAAAAACTCTTGAGACTTTGTGATGTGGGCTATTCTCACTGGGGATTAGTGATATCTCAGGGCAGTCTTTTTATTTCTCTGATGATTAGGGATGATGAGCATTATTTCATGTTTGGTAGCCATTCAGAGAAAGTTCTTCTCTGGTCTTCTTCAGAGAAAGTTCTGTTCATATCTATTGCCCAGTGATAGATGGGACTGTTTGCTCCTTTTTTTGTTGATTAACTAGAGTTCTCTGTAGATTCTAGTTATCAACCCCTGTCAGATTCATAACACTCAAATACCTTTTCCCATTCTGAAGGCTATTTGCTTTAATTGTTGTGTCCTTAGCTGTGTAGAAGCTTTTCAGTTTAATTAAGTCTCATTTGTTTGTGATTGTCACTGAAGTCTTCTTCATAACATCTTTCCCCGGGCCAAAATCATTAAGAATTTTTCCCACACCTTCTTCTAGGATTTTTATCACTTCACATCTTAAATTTAAATCTTTTATCCATCTTGAGTCCATTTTGTAAGTGGTGAAAGGTGCAAACCCAGTTTCAGTCTTTTACATGTGATGATCTCCCAGACCACTTATTGAATAGGGATTCTTTTTTTTTTTTTTTGAATAGGGATTCTTTTCCCCAGCATATGCTTTTGTTTTGTCTATTGAAGATCAGATGGTGATAAAAGACTGGTTTCATCTCTTGATGTTCTATTCTGTTCCATGTCTACAACTCTGGGTTTTTTGTTTTTTTTTTTTTTTTTTTTGAGGCAGAGTCTCACTTTGTAGCCCTTAGTAGAGTGCCATGGCATCACAGCTCACAGCAGCCTCAAACTCTTGGGCTCAAGAAATCCCCTTGCCTCATCCTCCTGAGTAGCTGGGACACAGGTACCCACCACAACACCCAGCTATTGTTAGAGAGGAAGTATCACTCTGGCTTAGGCTGGTCTCCAACCTGTGAGCTCTGGCAATCCACTGGCCTTGGCCTCCCTGAGTGCTAGGATTATAGGCGTGAGCCACCTGGCTATTATGTCTCTATTTTTGTGCCAATACCATGCTCTTTTGACCATTGTGGACTTGTAATATACCCTGAAGTCTGGTAGAGTGATGCCTCTAGTTTGCTTTTATTACTAAGAATTGCCTTGGCTATACAGGGTTTCTTCTGCTTCCATACAAAATGAAAAATAATTTTTTCCAGTTCTTCAAAGTATGATATTGGTATTTTAATGGGGATTGCATTACATTTGTAGATGGCTTTAGTTAGTACAGACATTTTAACAATGTTGATTCTTTCCAGCCAAGCGCATGGTATGTTCTTCTATTTGTTAATGTCTTCTGCTGTTTCTTTCCTTAGGGTTTCATAACTTTCTTTGCAGAGATCCTTCACCCCCTTTGTTAGTCTACCATCTGACGTATTATGACCTGCATTAGGAAGCTGGAAAGTTAACTGCCTATAATTGTTTTTGACAATCACCCCTAGGGAAAAGGCTTGTTTGACTGAATGAATTCCAAATCAAGTCAATACAGAAAGCCTTGCAAGTGTGGGTCTTACAGGAACTACCATATTGGTGAAGCAATGATCCTCCAGGAATGAGGGTTTGAGAAGCTCTAGCCCCAGTTATCTTCTTCCAGTAACTGTTGAGACTCCTGGTTTTCACCATTAATGTGCGCTGTTATTTTTCAAGGGTACTGCAAAACTGGAGAATGGAGGAAATGACTAGGACAAGCCAAGACACCACAACGTTCATTGTTCTTACTAAGAATCTGTCATTTTTCTTGGGGGTGGAAAACACTCCCTGGATTGCTGCCTGGCCTGAAATGGTTGATTCAAACAACATTTTTTCCTTACAACTTTTTTTCTTACCACTTTTCTCATTCCTTTTACAGAAGAAAGAATTTTGGTCCTTACCCCATTTCTTTCAATCAATATTAATGTACACACATGCATTTAAACCAAACCCACCACAGCGGCAAAGATGGCAAGAGGTTAGGTCGAGAAAGGAATATTTTTATGCATAATACTTTTTTGTACTCTGACAATTTCTGCCCTTAAGGTACTCCTATAATTTGGAAAGCTGAGATTGACAGGCAGATCCACTGGCAAGGAGTTCTGTGGGCCACAATTTTCAGCTACAGAGATCCAGGCGGGGCCTGTAAGAAGGAAGCTGTGTTGAATTTATAGACAAGAAACACAATAATTACTACTTAGTGTAAAAATGGAAATTAGGATCCAGACTCATGTACTATATCATATATGAGAAGAAACTCTAAAAGAAACAAAAAGATATTCTAGTACAGGCTCAGTGCCTATGGCTCAGCAGTTAGGGTGCCAGCCACATACACTGGAGATGGTGGGTTCAAACCCAGCCCAGGCCTGCCAAACATCAATGACAACTACAACCACAAAAACAAAAAAACCAAAAAGAAAAACATAGCCAGGCATTGTGGCAGGTACCTGTAGTCCCCACTACTTGGGAGACTGAGGCAAGAGAATTGCTCAAGCCCCAGAGTTTGAGGTTGCTGTGAGCTATGACACCACAGCACTCTACCAAGAATGAGAGCTTGAGACTCTGTCTCAAAACAACAAAAAAAAAAAAAAAAAAGAAGGAAAGAAAAAAGATATTCTAATACAAAAACAAACATATTCATATTCCATTTCATCCTGTGAAAGCAGAAATAGTAGAAGCACATTAAAAAAAAACAATTATCATAGCCACCATGAGATTGCTATCCTTAGAAAATGCTGCTTATAGTATAGGTTGGCCCTTGTCTGGTCTCTGGAAATTTGGATTTGAGGAGGGTTCTCACCAAATCCTCGTTCTCAGAAGTAACGAATGGTTCACTGGGTCTAAACTATACATTTAATATGGTTTATACCAAATACTTGCTTTCCTCTGGGAATCTGGAATTTTTGTACATGCTCAGCAGAGTGGCTGGCTATGTGACAACCCCCCAGCAAAAACCCTGGATGTTTTCCCTTTGTAATTTTGCTTTATATCCTTTCACTTTAATAAACTACAGCTGTGATTACAACTGCATGCTGAGTCCTGTGACTCTTCCTAGCGAACCATCAAACCTGGGGGTGGTCTTCCTCAACACAGTAGACATAGTTGAGATACCATTCAATAAACAAATGTTCAACTTTTGTCAAAAAAATGTACATCAGAACAGCAATGAAATGCTATTTTCCACAATCAGAGACATTCATTTTGAAGAGGCAGTATGATTGACAGGGATGTGCTGAGGAGGGGCACTGTGGTAGCTAACCTCCAACAAAGTCCCAGTGACCTTTGCCTTCTGGAAATCAGCCCTTGGGTAGATTTGTCTGACAGCAATTACAGCAGAAGTGATGATATGATAAGCAGTGCTGTAAGCTGTCTCTACAGTCTCAGTCCAGGTTGTCTAGGATCTAACAAACCTCAAAGCAAAATCTAATGGGAGCAGAAGGGGTGGTGATATGTGCATCCCTATGGTGCTGACTGCTCTCAAGCTCATTGGGATCCAAAGGGGAAAGTCAGCTCAAACGTCAGGTGAGGCTCTTCCTGAGTGGTCACAGCTGTGGATCCTATACATTTCTGAGCATGCACCAGCCAAGTCAGACCCACAGCTACCCAGGCTCACAGGTCATTGTTAATGGGGAGCCATCCACATGCCACCACAATGACCATTCTGACCTAAGATGTGCACAGACCTTAGATAGGACCATTGAACTTCCACAGAAATGGGTTCCTGTACTCTCACATAGAAACCTGGGTGAACAGTGGCCTAAGGGGTGGCCACAAGCATTATTTGGATACCCCCAAACAGACTGAGGGGGTATCCCTAAGGGGGTAAAAATTTAAATGTTAATTTTTTTTAACAGGGGAAAGTGCAAACACAGTCCCTCACTACCACAAATTATGCAGTTGAGTTTCCCATATTTGGAGAAATCGCAGGGGTCAGGACATCTGGAGTGTAATGGGTAAGCCTCGCCCTGGGAAAACCACCTTCGTGATCATGGTATCTCCCCGCCAGGTAAGTATTAAATGTTAAATGTTTTAATGTGAGAAGAACCCAAAGAGTCTGAACACTAGACCCTTCCCACCCACAGTGGTCCCAGGGACCAGGAGACCCACAAGCCAAGCTCTTCCTGGCACCTGGTTTGTTCCACACAGGGAAAGGGAACATGATCACAAAAGATCTGGTCCAAAGTACCTGAAAGTTCAACTTCTCAGAGCAAAAACAAAGACAAGGGTGCTAAGCCCTGTCTGCCTCCACCCAGACCAACTGGTGTCTTGACCTGAGTGACCAACACCATCCTGGCCTGCCCTATTGGAGGGAACCCCTAACACACACCAAAGCTGTGAACCCCACCACAAGGCCCATGGCAGTCTCTATGGTCAGGTGGGAGAGGGAGAAGCAGAATGGGGTTTCTCATCCCAGTGGGTTACCTGCAACATCTCACCTCTGAGGGGCACCCACTGAGCGACGCAAGCTGGGTGGTCCCTCACGTTGTGGCGGG